CTGAGCATGGGCCCAGAAGCCTCCCAAGCGCTCGAGAAGCAGGAGCAGCCACGCGGATCCTGAGCCGCATCATTATTTCTGCTGGAATGTGCCACACACACTGAGGAGCTGTGGACGGAAATGGGTCGTGCTGGATGAAGGCCAGAGCTTTTGAGCGCAGGCAGGAGGTCAAGAAAGGACATCAAATGTGGCTCTGAGACAGGGCTTGACAAACGAGTGAGGTTTATTCAGGACGTGGGGGCTTCCAGATCCTGGTCCGAAATCAGTGCTGTGGCTCACCCCACCTTCCCCATTCATCCAGCCCATCCACTGAGCCGGCAGAGTTGATCCTCATTCTGGCTTTTCCCTTACTAAGGACACACACACACACACACACACACACACATACACACATAGGTTCTGCTTTCTTGAGCTATTTTGCGTATCTGTTCTCTCCAAGCCTTCAACACCTCTCACCCCTCGGGGTCACAGAGCCTCCGTGTGGTCCCTCGGCCTCCAGCCACTCCCTCCCCGCACGGTTCCGGGCTCCCAGGGAACAACACTGCTGGCCCCTGGGCCCTGAACTGCAGGCCACGCCCACCCACGACCGCCAGTGTCCCCGTCCATGACCAGGCTGCAAACTCCCGGGCCTCCTCGCCTCCCTCTTCTCCACACCCTAGACCCACGGCAGGTCACAGACCCAGGGAAGCCGCCTGCCTTAGAGACCCCAAGCTTGCCCAGCTAGGCTGTCCCGAGGTGCAGCTTCTCCCGGTGGGAGGTGGGGGCATGGCCCTGGATTGTGTCCTCTGCTGAACTTCTACACATCCTTCAAGACCCCTCTCCCATCTGCCAGTCAAAACCAGCTCCCCTTTCTCCCTGGCCCGACAGCTTTCTGTCATAGCACAATGACCAGCCACAGTTGGCCTCCTCCCCTCCCATCCACCTTAGCTCCTGCTCCTTGTAGTCGGACCGCAGGCTCCATGAGAACAGGGAGCAAACCTCATGTGTGCCGGTTGTCCCCAGAACTCCTGAGTGCTACCTTCTCAGCCTTGTGTCCCCGTGCCGCCCGAGCCCGGTGGCCCGGCCCTCAGGCCCCACACTTCCCTTCAGCCCTGCCCCCGCCGCCTGTCCCTTCCCAGGGCCTCAGCTGCATCCTTTTACAGGCTCAGTGTCCCCTCTACCCAGGCCTCTGTCCTCGGGTGACCCGCGTGTGCCGGTGCGCCCCTGGCCGGCCCACCTGGGCACCTCATGGGCACCCCCAGCTCGACTCACCCCGCCTGAACTCGCCTTCGCCGCTCTCCAGTCCCAGGCCAGCCCCCTCCACCTCTCCGCACGCACGTGTCAGCAGATGTCCCCCCAGGTCCCGCATTCACTTCCTATCGGTGCTTCACAAACTGCCACCACGCCGCGGCTTTCCAATACCACGCGTCTGTCACCTCACGGCCCAGAGGTCACAAGTCCTAAAATCGGGGTGTCAGCAGAGGGCTGGCTGGGTTCCTTCTGGGGGCTTCGGGGAGGAATCGACTTCCTTGCCTTTTCTAGCTTCTAGACCCTGTCCGCGTTCCTTAGCTCCTGGCTCCGTCTTCTACCTTCAAGGCCAGCAGGATAACATCTTCTAGTCTTGCTGACTCTGACTCTCCTGCCTCCCTCTCATAAAAATGCTTGTAATTCCGCGGGGCCCACCCCGATAATCCAAGATAATCTCCCCAACTCAAGAGCCTTGATTTAATTACCCCTGGAAAGTCCCCTTTGCCATCGAAGATGACGTACGTACAGGACCCAGGGATCAGGACGCAGCCAACTTCAGGGGGCCGTTATTTGGCCTGCGACACTCGCCTCCCTCCATCTGCTCCAAGCCTCCAGGCGACCCCTCCAGGGACAGAAAAACTGTTGACCCATCTCCCTTCCAATCGCAACGCTTCCGTCTCCGTCGGAACATTCTCGGTGACAGGAGAGCTTGTCCATCACACCTCATCTCTGTTCAACCATCTCTTCCGCGGGATCCTCCCACTGGGGTTTCCAAAGACGTTAACATCTCTAACAAAGTCCCCCCCCCGCCTTGTCTGCCAGCAGCTCACCCTCCCTATCTCCTTTCTTCCACTTATCTCTAATCAAACTTCTAAGAAGCCCATACTGGTCACCAGGCTTCTAACAAGGCTCCCTTCTTGCGGCTCTCCTGCCCGGCTTCTCTACCACAGCCCTCTGGACGATGGAGACCAGATCATTCTTCGTCGTAGGAGGCTGTCTTGTGCACAATGAAAGGTTTAGCAGCACCCTGGCCCCCACCTTCTAGACGCCAGTAGCGTATCCCCATCCCAAGGTGTGATGGCCCAAAATGTGCCCACACATTACCAAATGTCCCCCTGGGGTGGGGGGAGGGAAGGGCAGTGAGGAGGGGAGCAAACTGCCCCAGGTGGGGAACCTCCGTCTGACAGTAACAGTTCTGGCTAGAGTGGCCGGTGACTTCGGTCGGCACTAAACCCGACGGACAGTTTCGAGCCCTTCCCTTGCCTGGCTCCTCAGAATTTGGCACTGTTGACAGTTCTGGCCTCCCCACCTGTCGGGGCGCCCTCCCTCAGTCTCCCTTACAGGATCACCCTCCCCTTCGGACCGCCAAAGCACTGGATATCCTGAAAGCTCATTCGTCGGCTCTCCCCGGGGGCGGCCCTCGACACTCCCAGCCCCCCCCACCCCCCACCTGTGCACAGGTGATTTGGGAAGTGACATCTCCAAATCTCCTTTCCAAGCTCCAAGCCCCTAGCAACAACCGCCTGGTTGACACGGCCACGGGGGTACCTTGACTCAACGTGTCTAATGCTAGAATCGGGACTTGGCCTCTGCCCAGGCCCCGCCTGTATTCTGTTTCTCAGAGACAGGCATCTTCCTGACCTGCTGAGAGCGGAGCACTGAAGGACTCGTCCTTGCCAATTCCCGCTCCCTCCCTGAGGCCCGTCGATCAATATCCAAGTCAATCTCGCTCACCTCTGAAACAGTTCACAAACCAGTTCACCCTTCCTCTATGTCACTGCCCCACCCCAGTCAAGGCCTCCACCGTTGCTGACTTAGACAACGATGCCTTCTTGACCGATGCTCCCCACTCCCAGTCTGTTCTCCAGCCTGCGGCCAAAGTCACCCTTTCAAAACATAAAGGAGACTTCTCATTGTTCTTAAAGCAAAGAACAGAAGTCCCAGTTTGGCCCACTGGGCCCTATATGCCCAAGCCTGTCTCCCCCTCCAGGCCCCGGTGTTCGCTCGACTCCAGGCACGATGATCTTCTACCTGCACAAACATGCCATACTCTCTCCCACCACAGGGCCTTTGCACATGCTGTTCTGACCATCTGGTGGGCGTTCTCATTCTTCACTCCCAGCTCAACTATCGGGAAGCCTTCCTTGACCTACGGCCACATCAATTCCTCTGGCTGTTCCCTTTTCTCCTAGCCTCATTGCTTCTGCATCACCTGAATCATAATTTTACATTTATTTACCTTCTTTGATTCACTGCAGCTTCCCCACAGTAAGCTCTGTGAGAGCAGGACTGATGTCTGATCTGGCCCACCACTGGAGCCCTGAGGCCGGCTCGGACCTAGCATAAGCGAGACCCACAAGAAAGGTTTATTTAATGACTAATGAATGATCTTCCTACCCTCCTAACCTGCTCTTCCCCACCGGCCTCACCTTCCTCCATCTCTGCTCAAGCTTGATTTCCATGACGTGTCCCTGACAATCCTTTCACTTCAGATCTTTACAAACTCTCTTCCTTACCACCACGTCCCGTGCATCAATAAATCTTAGAGATCCTCCCTCCTAAGTCTCTATAAAACGTGCCTGCCTCTAGCACCTCAGTTGAAACCAGCCTCTTTTCTGACCTGAACCCACCCCCCTTCCCCAGCGTCCCGATTCTGCATTTTGCAACCTAACCTAACCATTCGCTAAGGCCTCTGCCTGACAACCTTCACAGGCTTCCCCTGGCCCCCGGGGGAAGCATGCGCTCACTCTGGCTTATGAAATGTAGTTTGATCTGCCCCCTGCCGCCCTCTCCTGCTGATTTCTTGCCACTCTGTCAGGCTCTGCTGTCGCCACACGGACCTTCCGGATGTTCCTCTGCTCAGCTGTCCTGTGTGCATGCAGCACTCTCCCGCCCCCCTTCCACTAAGTGCTACTCATGCTTCAAGTCTCACACTAAAGGAAATCCTGCCCCCACTCCTCGAGTAGGCCGACGACAAGAATAATAGCTGATATTCGCTTCATACTTACGAAAGGCAGGGGTGGCTAAACACTTTACAGTACTGACCTATTTCATCGCCACCATCAACTACGATTATTCAGTTACAGAACAGGCACAGAGAAGTTAAAGGATTCATCCAAGGTCACATCACAGAGTAAATAGCAAAGCTGGCTGCCATAATGAACTTGGGCTCCGGGCCCCAGATCCATGAGCACCATGAACGCCACCGTCTCTCTCTGCAACTAGAATGCGCCAATGATCACATGTGCACGTACCTGTTCAACGCCTGTCCCCCCACCGCCGACTGTTCACTGCCCGAGGGCAGGGACCGCGTTTCCCGTGGCACCCAGTCTGGCACCTGGCATCACTGCTTTTTGAGCAGAATGTCACGCTTGGCATTCCCACAGCCCCCAGACCCAAGTCACCCTCCCTGGAGGAGGGCTTGAGGTGAACCCTTTGTTAGTTCCACCGAACAGCCCACCAGACCCGCACAAGAAGAATGGTGAGAAAATCACCCTGAAGTCTGGCTGGCTGGCTGGTCCCACGGGCTCCCTAGAGCCCCACTGCTAATTCCGCTGCCTACGGCCAGATGGGCTCTTTAGCATGGCCCTCGGCCACCAAGGATCACAAGCACTCGGCCAGGGCCACGGGCGGCCAGGTCCATTGCCCACGCTCCCTGGAGTGGTGGCAGGAAAGCTCCTGGGCCTGGCTGGGCCAGCGTGGGACTCCCCCTGCTGGTTTCCCTCCAGGTTTGCGAGCACCCTCTCCCCCGTCACAGCTTCGGGGACACTCACCAGCCAGGAGAAGAAGCCAGCCGATTTGTCCTGGGTGGAGATCTGCCCCTCGTAGGGGCCGAAGATGTGACCCTTGGGGATGACCTCATTTATGCACCGCACGTCATTCTCCCCACTCGCTTCCTTGACCACCTCCATGCCCTGCGGGATGGTGAGGGCAGCCCTGTCTGGGATGCCCACGGGCACTGGCGTGTCGGACACAAACACTGGGGGACCGTGGTTCGGACACGCATCCACAAAGTACTCCTGGCAGGACTCGCAGACTGAAGGGACGGAAAGAGCGAAGAGAGCCTCAGTTGCTGCAGGGAGGCAGGCCCTCCGCGGCCGAGCCTGAGGGGCTGATGGGAAGCCCACCCGCAGGACAGCACAGGGCCATGGAAAGTCCACTGCACTGGACTTGGGATTCCCGGCCCTGGCTCCGCCCCAGCCCGCCACGGGGGGCCCCTGAGTCTTAAGTGGTAATAACCCATTACCCTCCCCCGGGGGCTCAAAGGACATGCCTGCCAACGCGAAGGAAGCCAGTAGCTCCCTTTGTATCAGGTTTCAAGCACAGCTTTGGAGTCAGATGGGTCTGCGTTTGCACTGCAACTATCCCTCTGTGGGCTGCGGGACCCGAGGCAGGGTGCTTAACCCTCACCACGCCCCGGTGTCCCCACCTGGAAAACGGGACCCGTAACAGCCACCTCAGTGGTTAACGGTGAGATAAACTGAAACGGGGATCCGTGTCTGCTATGTAATAGGCGACTGCCTATCGTTAGTATTAGGGCTGCAAATTCCCGGAGCAGAGATGGGGTGACGAGTGGGAGTGGGGCGAAGGGAGGGGTAACCCGGGAACAGCCTCGAGCTCCACTTACACCAGAAGTCCACTTGCTGGAAGCTTTTGGGCATGATGAGCTCCCGCTTCCCCTTCAGTTTCTTGGGCTCCACTTCCATGGACGAGGGATCTGGTCTCCTGGAGCTGGCCAGGCCAGGGGCCGGTGAAGAAAGCAAAGAAGCCATCAGAGGGCGGGAGGCTGCTGGGCAGAGAAGCCGTGGCCTTGGCCGTGGGGCCGTGGGGATGCGGGCAGAGGAGCCCCGGCCATTCGGCGCAGCAAGAGCAAAAAGGCAGGGTCTGGGACCCGGACCCGGGCCTTCTAGGGTCACTGCCGGGTGCTTTACTAGAGCCTGTGCTCTCCCCTCTCTCCCAGGAGCTGCCCAGAGCAGCTTCCTTAACCAGGAAGGTGGGCCGGGAGTGGGAACTCTTCCCCACGGCCTCCGACCAACCCAGCCCAGCGATTCCCCACTTCTCCCTCTCCTGTCCCCACACCGGGGCCTCACCAGGGCTGGCCATACTCCTGGTCGCGGAGGGGTGAGCAGACCTCGGTCTTCACCACCGTCACCATATCCCCCACGGCCGCCTTGGTCTGCGCCAGGCACTCCTTCATGTTCTCAGTCATTCTGTCCTGGGGACGCGAAGGCGGGACCAGCACAGGAAGAGGATCAAAGAGACAGGGGAAGAAGGGTGAGTGTCAGGAGGGCAAGCGGGGGTCCCGTGGAGTCTGGTTACCCTCCCTGCCATCCCCAGGTCCCCAGAGGAAGCGCTTGAGAACACAGACAACAAAAACAGCTGTCGCTGGGCCAAGAGGAAATGCCATTTCTATCCCGGGCTGGTCCTGGAAGACTAAAGCCACCAGCCCCATGGGGTCAGAGGCCGAGGGGCAGCTCAGGCCAGGGGGCAGGACTGGATGGCACAGCCAGGACCCCAAGACCAACGGGCATAGGGTATGGAGAATCCACAGGAGCCTCCGCACAGAAGTCTGCAACGGGGAGCAGGGGCGGGATCGACTCAAGTCCAGCGGGGGCCGAGGGGGGCTGGTGGACCAAACGCGGCCAGGCAGGCCCCTGGTGCCTGGCCGTGCAGCCCCTCACCCAGAGGCTGCCAGGGAATGCGGCCAGGCCCGCTCTGCCAGCTCAGAGCAGGTACAGGCGGGGCCTGGGGGTCCTGGTGTGGGCCGGCGAGCCAGCCCCGACTCCAAGCCCCACCCGCTCCCTCTAGGGGAGTCTCCCCAGCCCGTCGCTTACCGCCCTCCTCCACCACCGCGCCGGGCTTCAGCCCCTCCCTCGGCACCCCTGGGTCCTCATGCCAAGCCCAGGAACACTCTTCGGGCCAGGGCGGCGCGCAGCTCAGGCTGGGACCGCGCGCTCGCGGCCCGGGACTGGGCGAGCAGCGTGTGTGACTCACTACCCGGGGCCCCGCTGGCCACACCCCTGCTCCTCCGCTAATCAGCCCCCTGCTCCCCACCGGGGCCCCAAAGCCGGCGGCTGCTGGGAGGGGTGCGGGGAAACACGACGGCCTGCCCCCTCCTAAGAGCCCGCGGGGCCGGGGGGCGCGCCGAGGGGGCGGGGGCTTCCCGGGCCGGGCCGGACCGCCCCGCCCCGGTCCCCGGACCGCCCCCCCCTCCGCCCCCACGGCCCCGCGCGGCGTCCCGCCCGCGTGTCCGGCAGGGAAAGTGTGAGGTCCCGCGGCCGAGCGCAGGGGCGGCGCGGGAGGCCGGGGAGGGCGCGGGCCGCTCTCTCCCTCTCACCAACCTTCCCGGCGGGGAGCTCCCTGCCCTGCCCAGCCCGGCCCTGCCCAGCGCCGCCCCCCGCCCGCCAGGCCCGGCATTCCTTGCGGGGGCATGTGGCTTCTTGCCGGCCCCGGGGGCACGCAGTTGGCTGGCGGCCGGGAGGGGGGCGCGCGGGGAGCGGGAGGCAGCGGGCGCCCGGGAGGGGCGGCGGCCGGGGGCCGGCCCGGGAGGGAGTCCAGCGCCCCCAGCGCGCTGGGGGGCTCCGGGCGGGCGTCCGGGTGGCCGAGAGCGCCGGCGGGGAGCGGAGCCCGGAGCTGGCGGGCGAGGGAAGCGGGTGGGCGACCTGAGCGGCCGGCCCCCCGCGCGCCTTCCCTGCGGCCGCAGCGGACTCCGCGCGGCTGCGGCGAGGCCTGCGGCGAAGCTAGCGACACCGATCCTTGCACGCCGCCCCTTCCCCACCTGAGCGGCCTAGGGTGGGGACCGGGCGCCTGCGGGGCGGGGAGGGGAGGGGCTCCATGCCTGGTGGTGGGTCCTCGGCCACCCGTCACGGGGCAAGGGTTGCGGGTCACGGAGGCAGGAACCTAGGACGGGAAGATGCCAAGGGACTTGCCCAAGGTCGCCCAGTCCGTTCCTGACGGAGTCTGGACTGGAACCTGGGGCCTGCTCAGTAAACTGGAAAACAGGAGAACCCCCCAGATTCAAGCGTTATGTTTCAGGTTTGGTTCACCTTCACGCCACACCCTCAGCCCAGCCTCTTCCAGAAGGATCATCGGGATCACCTTGGGGTGGGTGAAGGCAGCCCGCAAGTCCAGCTGCCAGGTAGGGGGCAAGGTCCTATAAATTTGTAAAGGTTCACCGAACACTTCCTGCCCCGAGGAGCACTTCTCACCTGGAGGGACAACATTCACACACAACACATCCTGCGGTAGTGAAGCCTGGTGGTTAGAAGCCTGGGTCCCCAAAACATACTGCCTGTGTTCAAATCCCACTGAGGTGCTGTGCGACCCTGGGCAGGTGTCAGGGACTGAAAGTGTGTGCTCCCCTCCCCCAATTCATATGTTGATGAGATCACCTCTCTTGTGACTATATTCAGAGGCAGCCTGCAAGGAGGTGATAAAGGTTAAATGAGGTCCTAAGGGCTGGTTCCCTTAGAAGAGGACTAGACAGCATATCTCTCCCTCTCTCTCTCTCTCTCCCCCCCTCCCTCCATCACGTGACTACAGTGAGAAGGCACCAGTGTGCAAACCAGGAAGGGAACTCTCCCCTAGGAACCGGATGAGCTTGCACCTTGATCTTGGACTTCCCAGCTTCTGAACCTGAGACATAAATGTCTGGCGCTCTGGGCCACCCAGTCTATGACAGTGTGTTACGGCGGCCTGAACAGACGAGGACAGCAGGACACCCAGCTTCCCTGTGCTCCCATCTGTTCACCTGGAAAACGCAGCCAGTGTTAGATTCCGTCACAGGCGTGGCTGCGTGAAATGGACAAAGATGAGTTTGGAGGGGCGAGGCTCGGGCTCTGCGTATCCGCACATGGAGAGAGCTGATGGGGAAGGTGGGTATGAGTGACCTCATTAAGGGGTGGCTTTCAATTCTCTCCACTGGACTGGATTTGTTTGTTGTTGTTGTTGTTGTTGTTTTTTAAGTCAATCATTTGCAGAGCCTGGCACATTATTAGAAACAGACTGCTTGGGAATATGTTGCATTTCTCCTGCTCCGGCCCGTCCGTCCTCCACCAGCGCCACCTGTATGCCACCTCCACCCTGCCACGGGGCCTATGAACTTGTGCCCTTCGCTTGGAGGACACCTGGAAAACTGCTACCCAACCTTCAGCCCCCCTGTCGCCCCCACCCCCAACTTAATACCCTCCCCAGCCTCTCTGCAGGGCACTTGTCGCCCTTAGAACAGCCTTTTGGTAGCAGGATTTTAAAAATTTATACCTGATTCCCATAATAGATGGTAAGTCCCACGAGGGTAGGCACTCTTGCTCACCACTGGGCACTTGTTACAGTGTCTGGCATCGGGGAAGAGTAGGGAAAGACCGGCAAGGTGCCAGGGCGTGCACTCTAAGGAGGCACCCACCCTCAGGGTCATGCACTTGCAGGAATGGCCCCTGAACGTGAGGGCGTCCTTGAACTTGGCACCCCAGGTGCCTTGCTTGCCTCATCCTTGTCTCAGCCTTGCCTGGCACATAGTGTATTCTCCATATTTGCCAAAGGAATGAATGACCAGCGACCCATGTTGCAATTCACCAGCCCCCTGCTGGCCCCATTGAGAATCTCAACCCTGAAAGAGATCTCAGAAGCGAAGACAGGGTGGGTGGGTTATTGTTCTGAATCCTCTTTGGGGTGCTCCCTCAGTGATCTCTGCCGGGCAAGGTGGGCGGCCCGGAGGGCGAGGCTGGCGTTGAGAGGCAGTGAGGTCCAGTGGAGAGTATGAATGGAATTGAACTCCTAAGTCCTGGATCTGAACTTGATAGGAAGCCATAAAGTGTCTGCTGTGAGCATGGCAACATCACTTCAACTCGCCAGGCCTTAGCGTCCTCCTTGGTAAAATGGAAATCATCATAATTGCCAGGCTATCCCCTTGAGGAATGAATGAAACAATGGCTGGGGCAAGACCTTGGGAAGAGCCAAGTGCTACGAGTTTGTAGAGGGTATTAGTATTTAGCTGGCCACCCAGAGGCAAAGGCTGAGAAGAAAGAAGAGAGAGGGGGGATGGAGGGAAGACAGACCAGAAAGGGGATGGGAAAGCAAGTAAAAGACAACTAAGAGAATAAAGGATGGAGGGGAAGAGGGAAAGAAGAGAGGAAAGCAGGCAAGGGGGTAGGGGGAAGACATGCAGACCTTTTTCTATGCCTTAAATGGAAACGATCTCCTCTGAGAAAAGCAGTCATTTGTCCCTCAAAGTAGAGAGACAGATGGCCATATCCTTTCAGGTCTTACTTTTCATTTACATCCCACCTTCATCAGGTAAAAGAACTGTGATGATTTATAACACAAACACATACTCAACAGGACAGAGATTTCGTGGAGAAAGATTGATGTCAATTATACCAAGCATCTGTTGTAAGATGGTCAGTGATCTAGCTGCCCATTCAGTTCTGAGCCTCCTGGCAGTGAGAGCAAAAAGGGAAACACAATGGGTTACAGCGTAGTCATTATTGGACACTTATTTACTGACTGCACAATTAAGTTCTTTCCATTCTTAGAGGAGTCCGGCTGCCTGGGGAACCGGAACCGAGCCTTGCTTGCATGGCTGAGGCACATTACAACTCCATCCTGTGTCTGGAGTGGAGGCTGTGGGGGCGGGGAGGGGGAGGGAGAAGACAGGATGTGGCGGGACTTCCATTTGGGAAGAGAGAGGGAACACTGCAGGCTCGAGTCCTTCACTGGGCCCATCTCAGCGGGCACGGTAAAGCCTGTACCAGATGAAGTTCAGCAACCGTTTTTGTCGTCTGCCCTGGACCTGCTTGCCCTGCGAGGGGCTTGGGGGAGGGGTGGTCAGCAGGCCTCACGGAGGACTCCGAGCTGCTGGCAATGCTCCCTCTCTCTGGCTCCTGTGAGTCTGCACACGCAGAGATTAGGCATGTTGCAAACCCAGCAATGAGATGCAAGCCCCAGAGGAGGGGGCAGAATGCAACTCAGGAGGCGACAGCTCTCTTTTCACCCTTGGCAGAGTGCCAGGGTCCTGGAATGCCCGGCGGCCAGCGTGGCCTGAGGACTGGGAATCTGTGCCCACTTGGTCTCCCTAGAGGCCGGCACCATGAGACTCTGACAGGTCTGCTCTGGTACCATCATAGCATCCTGCGTTGTTCCGTCCAATAACCGAGGGACAGCAGATCAGAGGGCTGGCCCACGTCACATGGTCACCTGGTCACCTGGGCTGGGCCTCCCGAGCTCTGAGTTCAGTCCTGCCTGGGCCATGAACTTTGTAGGTGACCTTGAGCAAGTTCTTGCCCTGCCCTGAGCCTCAGTCCCCCTTTCTTGAGAAATAAAAGGTCCAACATGGTTCTTAACAGTAAATCGTGGGGATGATGGGGGAAGAGCATGGAATTATTGAGGGAGTTGTTGAATTATATGCCCAGCAAGCACTGCCTGTAGAGAATAATGATATGCCTCAAACTTTGACCTGAGACAGATTTGTAGACATAGGTACATACTTTTAGGATGAACAAATGATAAATTTATATTAAAATGTTACTGAATTCAGAGGAGCCAAATGTCACCACATGTTTCATTCATCAGCTGATGCCAGCACAGCCACTTATGAGCTATGTAACCTTGGGGGAAATTAACCACTCCTACCTTCCTCTCCCTGTCCAGTGGGACTGCGGTCAGAACCTATCTCATAAGCCGTTTTACATAGCATAATATCTGGCATATAATAATCACTCTAGAAAAATTAGTTCTTAGTATCCTTCGTTTTATTATTTTAAAAGTATAGCAGACATCAGGGGGCATGTCGATGGAAATTTTTTTGACATTAAAAAGAGGGTCTTTACAAGCAGTTACTACCCTTCAGAGAGAGAAACGCATTTAATAAGTCTACTATAAAGATGCTCATCCCAATAGAAAAAAAAAGGAAAATGGCATTAAAAAAGCAATTGCAAAGAAGAAAGACAAATGGCCAACATGCTTGATGAAAAAAACCACAACACTTGGATCCACAAATAAATATAAATTAAAATAAGCATCATTTTTCCTCTATTAAGCTGGCAAAGATTAAAAATCTCCATCCTGTTCCACGTTGGCAAGAATGTGGGGAATACATCCTACACGCCCTCCTGGTTGGAGTATAAATTGGTTATGATCTTTCTGGAGGGCAACTTGGCAACACAGATCAACAGACTCAAAATGAGCAAAACCTTTGTAGGACCAACCCCAAATCTAGGAATTTCTCCTAGGGACATAATTAAGTTGTGTTCAACTTATTTACCCATAAGGTTGTCCTTTGCAACACTATTTTTAGTAG